GGACTGGTTAAAAAATCAACATTAATAGTCTGTGTCTTAAACATCAACATTAGATAGGAATTTTCCCCTAACTTCAACTTTAGATAGTAAATGTTACTACTATAAATTAGATGTGACCCCTTCTAAACTACAACTTAAGATAATGACTGTGTCTAAATTTTAAAACATTAGATAGTGAATTGTCTATAAACTATCAACATTAGATAGGACTGTGTATCTAAAACTATCAAACATAGGATAATTACTGTGTATAAACTATCAAATTTAGATAGTGGACTTTGTTCTCTAAACTATCAACATTAGATAGGGACTGTGTCTAAACCATACCATGCGGTAGTAGTGATGTTCCCTAAACTAATTCAACATATATAAGTCATGGTATTATAAACTAGCTCCATAAAACATGCTGCTATCTTTAGACAGCTTCCGTGGAACATTACCTATATTGTCCCTGTTCCCATTACATATGAATACTATACCTCTATCAGCTATCTCCCTGTCCTGACGGCCCCACACAGTTCAGTGGCCTTTGAGAGATTAAACATTAAGCAGGCCTAGCTGACCGATAGGCAGAAACTCTCCGGGTCTATGTTCCCAAATCAGGCCTGTGCATGGCTACTGTGGAGACCTCTGCAGCGGGCTTCTAGGCTTCTGGGTGACTGGGTGGGTTTATTCCACCACAGTATATGTTTGTGAAGGGATTGTTGGATAGGGAGGTGTATATAAAAAACTTCAGGCGCGACTATCCTATTTACCCTCCCGGCCCCCTTCCCTGCCCTTCCTCCTCCTTACCCTCCCTGGCCCCATTCCCTCAAGATACTGGGAAGACCCACAGAAGGACCCAAGTCACAGGCCATACACGTGCTACCACTCATATCACCAAAAACAAACGGAACATGGGTCCCAGCCTTGCTCCTCTAAAAAAAAGCGACAACGAAACAGAAAAGGAAAGGGAGGAAACGTGTAGATCAAAAAAAAAAGGACAAGTAAAGGAAAACCTACGATGGGTATAAGGGAACGGGGAAGAAGACGAAATAGGACAGGGAAAAATGGAAAGAGAAGAGGAAAGAAGAAGCGTAAAACCCGAACAGGAACAAGCGAAAGCACAACGAAGAGCGACAGAAGAAGGAAAAAGAAAGGAAAAAGTCCGTAATAGCGCCAGGCTCCCCAGCGGGCCGAGTAAGCTCAGACCTTAAATAGGAATGACATTAATCGCCACCGAAAACCCTCCAGGACAACATATAATTGCCGCCCCCCCTTCAAGCAAGCCGAACGCCAGTCCAGATAAAGTACCCTTACGCAAGCCCCCAAGCGACAGCCCATACCGAAGAGTGACGCCACAAGACAACTAGCCGGAAAAAGAGGAGATTTAGAAAAGGAATCAGGAAGGAGAAGCAAAAAAAGAGGGAAAAAGGAAAGAAAAGGGAAGAAGAAGGTACAACATACCAATAAGAAAGGAACAACCAATAACCCAAACAACCTAAGCTCCCCCCTTCCCACAGGACAAGAGCACAAGGCAAGAAAGAAGGAAAAGAAGGAACCCCCACAAACCCACCGGAAAACGAAAGAAAGGGACACGAAGAAAGGAAACAAGAAAACAGGGAAAAAGGAAGGCGTTGGCGTCACAGCTGGGTAGGGGTGTTCAGGGCGGCGGGCGCCACCCACCCGCGCCGGCAACAGCTCCAGTGCGGGCGGAACGCAGCGAGGCAGACCAGGGCCCTCACACGCCGAACCCCTACAGCGCCTTGGGTGAGTGCCAATCGGGCGGGTGTGCCCCGGAAAGCAAGCATCCCATGACCAGCATTAACAAGAAAGTGGGAAAAAATGAAAGAAAGACAATGCGCCATAAGAATTAAAATAACGGTTTGTGAAAAATTTTCAAATCCTTTGAATGGGACTTTCCCCCTCCTTACACTCACCTGCCACTCTTCACCTCGCATTCCTCACCTCCTTACCCTCCCTGCCACTTTCCCTCCCTCCTGGCCTCTCCTACTTTCCCTCCCTGACACCTTCCCTGTCTCTTGCATACTCCTTACCAGAAAGTGAAAAAACCATCATAGACGACTTTACCCCACCCATAAGGCCCTTCACCCCCTGGCTGGGCTCCGCAAAAAAGAACAGTAACAGAAAAGACACTCAGTTCGGAAATACCCAACACAACAACCAGGCCAAAGGAAAGGGCCCCCCTGCTCTTACCAGGCGGGGGAGGGCGAAATTAAGAACCCACGGAAAAGAATCGCCCACCACGTCGATTCACCCCCACCCACCACCTGTTAATCGCTCCTGTCCCCACCTATAACAAAACCCCGAACCCCGCCAGCCTACCCCGACACACAATTTAGCAGCAATCTTGTTCCACTTCCACAAAAAGGAACAGGAGGCCTCAGAAGGCAAGCAAGAAGCCGGGAAAAAAAAACGTAGTGGTATCAACCTTAAGAAGTCGCAGCGACATCGTGCGGGGACTGGAAGACAAGCTTCAACCCGCCGAAATAGAATGAATGGAAACACACACGGAAAGAATACACTTAAGAAAATTCGCGATAGTTCACCTTAAAGTTATTTAAAAAACCCTTCGACACTTCCCTCGAACATAAACTACTTCACTACTTAGTAACTCTCTTCATACCCAACACCTTCATTTCACCAACGCCACCCCTCCTCCACATACACCTACATGCCCCCACGCTATCCCACCCTCCACTCCCCCACCCACAAAACCCCCTACAAACTCTAATCCCTAACTTTCCAACCCCTAAGAATCACACCCCCCTTTCTGTTAGCACTACCAGTCAGAGCACGGAAAGTTACCGGGTACAGAAGAAGGCAAAAGAATCCCAGGACACACCCCCCAGGCACAGGAATGACAGAAGCAAGGAAAGAACATCAGGACACCCGTAAAGCCCTTTGGAAAAAGGAACGTATAAGACGGAAACAGAATGAAAAGAAATCGAAAGGACGGGAGGCAGCACAGACGGGAAAAGAAATGACAAAAAACAAAGGAAAGCCAGCCGAAGCGGAGACGAATGCAAAAGACCACTAGGGGAAATTAACGGGCCAAGGCTGAAAAAACCATTCATGAATGTGACCTACCTACTGACACAATACAGAGGCAAAAACTCGTCCATACATAAATGGCATCTCCTACACATCCATGACCAATGAAACATGCCCCTACCTCATCCTATACTCCCCTGCCCATTCCGGCCTGCCCCTCTTACGCTCCCTTGCCCCCCCCCTTCCCTCCCTCCTGGCCTTTACTCCTTACCCTCCCTTCCCCTTCCCTCCATGACCCCTTCCGTATGCACTCCTCCCCTTACCCTCCCTGCCCCCCCTTCACTGCCTGCCTACTCCTACCCTACCTGTGGCCCTTCCAGTCGGCCCCCTCCTTACCAACTGGAACGCGACACAACCCCCAAAAAATGGGAAATGAAGTAGTTGGACAAGCACAAGATCCAGTAACAGCAAAGGAAAAGGAAGGCAAAGGAAGAAAGTATCAGGAAAGGAACGGGACAAAAGTAAAGCGAACAAATGAAGCAGTACTGACGAACTAAGTCCATGAAAAATTACAATGGACTGCCTCCTCACTGAACAAAACAGGCGACATGACCTCCCTTACTGGGCTTCTCAGTACAATCCCTGCCCCCCCTTCCCTGTTGGCCTCCCCCTTACCCTCTGCCCTTCCCTGCCTGCCTAATCATTATCCTCCCTGCCCCCTACCCTGCCTGCCCCTCCACACCCTTTCCCTGCCCCCTTCCCCCTCCCTCCTGCCTCCTCATTACCCTCCCCTGCCCTTTCTGTCTTTCTCCTCCGTACCCTCCCTGCCCCCTCACTGCGGCCCCTCCTTACCCTCCCTGTTGCCCTTCACTGTTGCCCCCTTCCTTACCCTCCCTGCCCTTCCATGCATTGCACTTCCTCCGTATCCTCCCTGCCCCCTGCCGCCGGCCCCTACTTACCCTCCAGGACACGTTCCCTCCCTCCTGGCCTCCGCCCGTACCCTCCCCATGCCCCTTCCCTGCCTGCCTCCTCCTTATCTCCCTGCCCCTTCCCTGCATGCATCCCTCCTTATTCCTCCTGCCCCTTTCACCCCCTCCTGTTCTCCCCTCCTTACCCCACCAGCCTGCCCCCCTCCTTCGTCTGAGCCCTCTTACCCTCCATGCCCCCTGCAATGCCTGCCTCCTCCTTACCCTCCCTGTTGCCCTTCCTGTCTGCCCATCCTTACCATCCACTGCCCATTCCCTGCCTGCCTCCCCTTACCTTCCCTGCCCTTTCCCTCCCTACTGGCCTCCTCCTTACCCTCCTGCCCCCTTCCCTGCCTGCCTCCTCCTATCCTCCCTGTCCCCTTCCCTGTGCCTGTCCTCACTACCCTCCCGCCCCTTTCCCTCCCTCCTGGCCTCCTCCTACCACCATGCCACTTCCCTGCCTGCTTCCTACTTATCTCCCTGCAACCTTCCCTGCCTTCTCCTCCTACCCTCCCTGCCCCTTTCCCTCCCTCATGTCCTTACCCCTCCCTTTCCCTTCCCTGCGACTGCCCCTCCTTACCCTCCCTGACCCTTCCCTCCCTCCTGTCTCCTACTTACCCTCCCTGCCCACTTCCATGACTGCCTCCTCCTTATCCTCCCTGCCCATTCCCTGCCTTCCCCTCATGAACCTCCCTGCCCCTTTCCATCCCTGTCCTTACCCGCCTGCCCCCCTCCCGGCCGCCCCTCCTTACCCTCCCTGCCCTTTTCCCTCCCCTCCTGGCATCCTACTTACCCTCCTGCCCCCTTCCCTGCCGGCCTCCTCTTGATCCTCCCTGCCCCCTTCCCTGCCTTGCCTCCTCCTTACCCTCCTGCCCCTATCCCCCCCCCTGACTACTACTTACCCTCCTGCCCTTCCCGGGCCTGCCTCCTCCTTACCCTCCTACCCTCCCTTGCCTTGCCTCCTCCCTCACCCATGCCCCCTTCCCTACCTCCTACTGTATTACCCTACGTCCCCTCCCTCCATTGCCTGCCCTCTCCTACCGTGGGCGGTGCCAGCCGGTCCTTCATGACACCAATGAACTCCTTGTAAATGAGCTGTCCGTCACGGTCCTCGTCGAAGATGTGGAAAACACAGTGTTGACCAGGTGATCAGTGAGCTTTCCGCCCGTCGTCACATAGACTGCCCGGGCAAATATCTGAGAGAGGGAAAGGCGAGAACCACCATGTCACAAATTGGCCACTGTTATAGTCTCCATCCCAAATGGGCACCGTATTCCTATACCAGGGCACCAATGGGGGTCAAAATAGGCACTATCATAGGGACTATGGTGCCAAAAGTAGTGCACTATATAGGGGGACCTTTTTTTTAGGTGCCATTTGGGACCACAGTGATAGTGTAAGATGGTGGGTTAAACAGTGGAAACAGGTGAACAGTGGAAACAGGGAAGCGTGTTCAGTGGAAAGGGAGGAACAGTTTTGTAACAGTTTGTAAAACACAGTGTGGTTATTCCTTCGTCCATGTATTTCAGGAGTCAACCAATCAATGGAAACGATTGGACTAAACCTTGGAAGGAACGATTGGGAACTAACATTGGCCAATGAACGATGGGAAAACGAACCTTGGCCAATGAACGGTTGCAAAGTTGTACATTTGCATGGCTATAGCAAAATCCTCCAGGTTGTTCATGAATGGAAGAAGGATCGAACTCATCAAAGTGAGTCCCTACAAGATGAACAAAGTCAATTCAAATCAAAGTCAAATCCAAGACAGTAAAATCAATTTAAAATAAATTCCAATATAAAAGCGAAGAAACATATGTTAATCTAAACTCAATCAATTGAAAACAGAAAAAGATTCACTATTATATAAATTGTAAAAGTGTAAATAATGTAAAAGAGTCCATGTGTAAATGTAAAAAGAGATAAATATCCGAGGCTCAAAACGCGTGAGAGAGAACAGGAATGAATGAAACATAAAGCAAACGACCTTCTATGTCCCAACCCAAAAAGGCCAGCCAGGGACCATTGGCAACAGAACTCAAACGACACATTAATCTACTCCACTTAAACCAGAGGGAAGACTTAGTGTTCCGCGGGACCTTGAAGACATTACATAGATAAAAGACACAAAGGCAGGGGACACGACCAAACAGACAGAGTATACTCGCTGGGGGTTCCCCCCTGGTATGTGATTACTATGAGTTGATTGTAGCTTTGGGGAAAAGGTCAGCATGTTTGAGATTTTGAAAGCAGATTAAACTAACACTACATAAACAAAAACAAAAGGGGGCTGAAATCCACACAGCTAAGGGCTTGGCAGATGAGTCAAAACAGCCCTATTGATGTCCACTCAACCATCCCACTGACTACTAGAAAACTCTATAGCTCGCCCCTCGGGGGCCCCTCAAACACAACCATCCCACTGCTATAGAAACTCCTATAAGCTCGCTGCCTCCCTCCGGGGGCCCCTCCGGGGCCCCTCCAAACACCACCATCCCACTGATACTAGAAAACTCCTATAGCTTGCCCCTCCTCTGGGGCCCTCCAACACAACATCCAATGCTAACTAGAAACTCCTATAAGCTAGCGCCCTCTGGGGCCATCCAACACACTGCTACTAGAAACTACTATTAGCTCGCTCCCTCCCTCTGGGGGCCCCTCCAAACACATGCTACTAGAAAACTCCTATAAGCTCGCTCCCTCCCTACGGGCCCTCCAACACAACCAACACATGAGCCAACAAATTATGTAATGAGTAATTTGTGATGCTTTGTTTCCTCCTTACCCTCCTGCCCCTTTCGTCTGCCCCTCCAACCCCCCCCCTGCCCCCTTCACTCCCTCCTCCTCCTTACCCTCCCGTGCCCTTCCCGCTGCCCCCCCTTACCCTCCCTGCCCCCTTCCCTGCCTGCCTCCTCCTTCCCTCCCTCCCCCTTTTCCCTCCCCCCGCCTCCTCCTACCCTCCTGCCCTCCGCACCCCTTTCCCTTATCCTCCTGTCCCCTTCCATGCCGGGTCCTCCTTACCCTCCCTGCCCCTTTCCCTCCCTCCGGGCCCTCCCCCTTCCCCTCCCTGCCCCCTTCCCTCCCTGCCTCCTCCTTACCCTCCCTGCCCCTTCCCCTGCCTGCCTCCTCCTTACCCTCCCCCCTTTCCCTCCCTCCTGCCCTTACCCTCCCTTCCCCTTCCCTGCCTGCCTCCTCCTTACCCTCCCTGCCCTTCCCTCCCCTCCTGGCCTCCTCCTTACCCTCCCTGCCCCCTTCCCTGGCCTGCCTCCTCCTTATCCTCCCTGCCCCCTTCCCTGCCTTCCTCCTCCTTACCCTCCCTGCCCCTTTCCCTCCCTCCTGGCCTCCTCCTTACCCTCCCTGCCCCCTTCCCTGCCTGCCTCCTCCTTACCCTCCCTGCCCCTTTCCCTCCCTCCTGGCCTCCTCCTTACCCTCCCTGCCCCCTTCCCTGCCTGCCTCCTCCTTATCCTCCCTGCCCCCTTCCCTGCCTGCCTCCTCCTTACCCTCCCTGCCCCTTTCCCCCCCCTGCCTCCTCCTACACTCCCTGCCCCCTTCCCTGCCTGCCTCCTCCTTACCCTCCCTACCTCCCTGCCTGCCTCCTCCCTCCCCTCCCTGCCCCCTTCCCTCCCTCCCTGCCTGTCTTACCCTACTCCCCTCCCTCCCTGCCTGCCCCTCTCCTTACCGTGCGGCGGTTGCAGCCGGTCCTTCATGACACCAATGAACTCCTTGTAACTGAGCTGTCCGTCACGGTCCTCGTCGAAGATGTGGAACACAGTGTTGACCAGGTGATCAGTGAGCTTCAGCCCCGTCGTCACATAGACTGCCCGGGCCAACTCATCTGAGAGGGACAAGGCGACGAACCACCATGTCACTAAATTGGACCACTATTATAGTCTCCATCCCAAATGGCACCGTATTCCCTATACCAGGGCCAATGGGGTCAAAAGTAGTGCACTATATAGGGACTATGGTGCCAAAAAGTAGTGCACTATATAGGGACTATGGTGCCATTTGGGACACAGTGATAGTGTATAGATGGTGTGTTAACAGTGGAAACAGTGGAACAGTGGAACAGTGGAAGAGTGTTACAGTGGAACAGTGGAACAGTGTAACAGTGTAAAAACAGTGTGGTTATTCCTCGTCCATGTATTTCAGTAGTCAAACAAATCAATGGAACGATTGGAACTAACCTTGGCCAATGGAACGATTGGAACTAACCTTGGCCAATGGAACGATTGGAACTAACCTTGGCCAATGGAACGGTTGGCAAAGTTGTACATTTGCATGGCTATAGCAAAATCCTCCAGGTTGTTCATGAATTGGAAGAAGGATCTGAACTCATCAAAGGTGATTCCCTACAAGATGAACAAAGTCAAATTCAAATCAAAGTCAAATCCAAGACAGTCAAATCAATTAAAATAAATTCAATATAAAAAGCAGAATAAACAGTAATTCATCTAAACTCAAATCAATGAAAACAGAAAAAGATTCACTATAATATAAATTGTAAAGTGTAAATGTAAATGTAAAAAGAGTAAATGTGTAAATGTAAAAAGAAGATAAATATCTGAGGCTCAAACAGTGTGAGAGAGACAGGAATGAATGACACATAAAGCAAACGACTGGATGTCCCAACCCAAAAGGCCAGCCAGACAATGCAACAGCACTTCACACGACACATAATCTACTCCACTTAAACCAGAGGGAAGCCTTTAGTGTCCGCGGGACCTTGAAGACATCACATAGATAACAGACACAAAGGCAGGAAAATGACCAAACAGACAGAGTATACATCGCTGGGTTGTTCCCCCCTGGTATGGATACTATGAGTTGATTGTAGCTTTTGGGGAAAAGGTCAGCATGTTTGCAGATTTTTGTAAAGCAGATTAACCTAACACTTACATAAACAAAAACAAAAGGGGGCTGAATCCCAAACAGCTCAGGGTTGGCAGATGAGTCAAACACAGGCCCTATTGATGTCCACTCAACCATCCCACTGCTACTAGAAACTCCTATAGCTCGCTCCCTCAGGGGCCCCTCCAACACAACCATCCCACTGCTACTAGAAACTCCTATAGCTCGCTTCCTCCCTCCGGGGCCCCTCCGGGGCCCCTCAAACACCACCATCCCACTGCTACTAGAAACTCCTATAGCTTGCTCCCTCCCTCTGGGGCCCCTCCAACACAACCATCCCACTGCTACTAGAAACTCCTATAGCTCGCTCCCTCTGGGGCCCCTCCAACACACTGCTACTAGAAACTCCTATAGCTCGCTCCCTCCCTCTGGGGCCCCTCCAACACACTGCTACTAGAAACTCCTATAGCTCGCTCCCTCCCTCCGGGGCCCCTCCAACACAACCAACACACTGAGCCTAACAAATTATGTAATGAGTAATTTGTGATGCTTTGCTATTTTAACAAAGCAAGCTCCATAAACTATCTCTTAGCACAATGACGAGACCCACTTGATTATCAATGGCGATCTAGCAACAAGCTACTCAGCCCACTGAGAAGCTGCTCACCTCTTTATGTGCGGGTCAGTGTGTCGAATGAAAAACAAACTAAAAACCTAAAATGTGAAAGTTTCACTCAGCAACTATTCATGGTTGCCTTCACGCAAGTGAAAAACTACAACAGAGACGTTTTCAGACAAGTATTTGGTTAGATAGTATTTCCACATCAATCATTTCAGTAATACCACAGAACAGAAATGACGCAATAAGAAATTCCATTCCATCTCGGTGTATCACTATCTATGTTATGGCAAGCTGGTTACCTGATACCACTCTACACATTATTACCACTCAGTTTATTGCTAAATAAGTAACATTTAATCGTCCTGGTCAAAACTGAAAATAGAAAATAAGATTTGATTGATTGAAAAACATAAGAATGACCAGTGGATTACTGGTCAACTAAATCCATCGCACACTTCCAAACTAAGAAAAGCATACTTGCATGTGTCTGGAAGAAAAGGCTATGAGGGTATTTAGGCTGAGTCGCCTTGGGGGCCAGGGGGTGAGAGGGCAAAGGGCTGAGAGGGTGTGTAGGGGGGATCATCTGGGGGGGTTAAGGGGGGCAGATTGGAGGTTTCTGGGAGGTAAAGGTATAGGGGGTGGGGGAGGGAGGTAGCTTGAGGTGAGGGGGATGGAGGTAGTTTGAGGTGAGATGGAGGTAGTTTGAGGTGAAGGGGAGGGAGGTAGTTTGAGGTGAAGGGGGATGGAGGTAGTTTGAGGTGAGGGGGGATGGAGGGTAGTTTGAGGTGAGATGGAGGTATTTGAGGTGAGGGGGAGGGAGGGTGGTAGTTTGAGGGTGAGGGGGGATGGGAGGTAGTTGAGGTGAGATGGAGGTATTTGAGGTGAGGGGGAGGGAGGTAGTTTGAGGTGAGATGGAGGGTAGTTTGAGGTGTGAGATGGAGGTTAGTTTGAGGTGAGGGGAGATGGAGGTAGTTTGAGGTGAAGGGGGATGGAGGTAGTTTGAGGTTGAAGGGGGATGGAGGTAGATTGAGGTGAAGGGGGATGGAGGGTAGTTTGAGGTTGAAGGGGGATGGGGTTAGATTGAGGTGAGATGGAGGTAGTTTGAGGTGAGGGGAGATGGAGGTAGTTTGAGGTGAAGGGGGATGGAGGTAGTTTGAGGTGAAGGGGGGGATGGAGGTAGATTGAGGTGAGATGGAGGTAGTTTGAGGTGAGGGGAGATGGAGGTAGTTTGAGGTGAGATGGAGGTCGTTTGAGGTGAGATGGAGGTCGTTTGAGGTGAGGGGAGATGGAGGTAGTTTGAGGTGAAGGGGGATGGAGGTAGTTTGAGGTGAAGGGGGATGGAGGTAGATTGAGGTGAGATGGAGGTAGTTTGAGGTGAGATGGAGGTCGTTTGAGGTGAGGGGAGATGGAGGTAGTTTGAGGTGAGGGGGGATGGAGGTAGTTTGAGGTGAAGGGGAGGGAGGTAGTTTGAGGTGAGATGGAGGTAGTTTGAGGTGAAGGGGATGGAGGTAGTTTGAGGTGAGATGGAGGTATTTGAGGTGAGGGGGAGGGAGGTAGTTTGAGGTGAGATGGAGGTAGTTTGAGGTGAGATGGAGGTAGTTTGAGGTGAGGGGAGATGGAGGTAGTTTGAGGTGAAGGGGGATGGAGGTAGTTTGAGGTGAAGGGGGATGGAGGTAGATTGAGGTGAAGGGGGATGGAGGTAGTTTGAGGTGAAGGGGGATGGAGGTAGATTGAGGTGAGATGGAGGTAGTTTGAGGTGAGGGGAGATGGAGGTAGTTTGAGGTGAAGGGGGATGGAGGTAGTTTGAGGTGAAGGGGGATGGAGGTAGATTGAGGTGAGATGGAGGTAGGTTGAGGTGAGGGGAGATGGAGGTAGTTTGAGGTGAAGGGGGATGGAGGTAGTTTGAGGTGAAGGGGGATGGAGGTAGATTGAGGTGAGATGGAGGTAGTTTGAGGTGAGATGGAGGTCGTTTGAGGTGAGGGGAGATGGAGGTAGTTTGAGGTGAGGGGGGATGGAGGTAGTTTGAGGTGAGATGGAGGTAGTTTGAGGTGAAGGGGGATGGAGGTAGCTTGAGGGGAGATGGAGGTAGTTTGAGGTGAAGGGGGATGGAGGTAGCTTGAGGGGAGATGGAGGTAGTTTGAGGTGAGGGGGATGGAGGTAGTTTGAGGTGAGATGGAGGTAGTTTGAGGTGAGATGGAGGTAGTTTGAGGTGAAGGGGGATGGAGGTAGCTTGAGGTGAGATGGAGGTAGTTTGAGGTGAGATGGAGGTAGTTTGAGGTGAAGGGGGATGGAGGTAGCTTGAGGTGAGATGGAGGTAGTTTGAGGTGAAGGGGGATGGAGGTAGCTTGAGGGGAGATGGAGGTAGTTTGAGGTGAAATGGAGGTAGTTTGAGGTGAAGGGGGATGGAGGTAGCTTGAGGGGAGATGGAGGTAGTTTGAGGTGAGATGGAGGTAGTTTGAGGTGAAGGGGGATGGAGGTAGCTTGAGGTGAGATGGAGGTAGTTTGAGGTGAGATGGAGGTAGTTTTAGGTGAGGGGAGAAAGGCGAGGCCTTAGGGTGTTTGTGTATGTTAGCATAAGGCAAAGACTACATTGCAAGTGCTCCACAATCACCTTCTCATCTGTAATGCTCTTGCGCACATTGTCCAGGTAACCTGCAATGTCATCTACGTTGGTGAAACGCAACAGGATGTGGGCAAAGTCCTCCTCACTGATGATAGGCAGGCCTTTGGAGTAAGACAGGAACTCAATCTCAAGCACCTCTGTCTGCAAGTTGTCCATGAATCTGGGGAGGGGTGGAGAAGATGACAGAGAGAGGTGGAGAGGGAGACAGAGAGAGGTGGAGAAGATGACAGAGAGAGGTGGAGAGGGAGACAGAGAGAAGTGAAGAGGGAGACAGAGAGGTGGAGAGGGAGACAGAGAGGTGGAAAGGGAGACAGAGAGGTGGAAAGGGAGACAGAGAGGTGAAGAATTGGTAGAAATGACAATTGTGTATTGTACATTATATACAGTGCATTCGGAAAATATTCAGACCCTTTACTCATTACTTTGTTGTACATTATATATCTGACACTGTAAAAGCAAGATGTAAGTTGGAGTTTTTGTCCATTTCCCCACTTGCCTGTAAAAATCATCGAAGCCCAACTCCGCCTTCCCCTTTTTCCCAAAGAAATGAACCAGCAGGGTCGTGTCGGTCATATTTTCATCCATATTCTGGGAGGGAAAACAAATGTGTGATTCAGTCTGACTTCCATTACTCATAAAAAATAAAGAAAAAATAAAGAAATGGACCACTTATGGCCGACCACGAGGACGACTTATCCACAAGGACCCAACCATGCAAAATACATTTCACTCACACAAACACACACACATGCTTGTACGTAGAAACATGCAGCCAAGTGCCACATACAGAGCTCTTGAACAACACAAATGCAGACAAATGCTTTTATCCAACCTTTATTGTCTAATATCAATGTGTAAACGTAGCACATTCCTGTCATTTTACAATTTACTATGTTAATGGTTAATATGTGGCTAGGAAACACAGGGAGACCAACATTGAAGTTCCAGCATTTCCCCTTCTCCTGACAGTTACACATGGTACTGAGACATATCAGAGTCCCCTGGGAACATGACCCCCCCAGTAACAGTTCCTACTGGTGCAGGGTATTTCCAGTCCAGGACAGGATGCTTTCAGATACATCACTGGTGGGAAAAGGGGTATTTTGAGGAATAAAGTTTTTTTTTACAACGAATGAAGTTTGACCTCATCAACAAAACTTGGGCCAACAACATAGTTTATCATCAACAACAAAATAAATCAATATATTGAGTATGATCCATATCATGTGACATTTAAGACACAACATTACACAGACCTAATCAAGGGAACCCGTAAACATTTACAGGTTAAATAGGAAAGGGACACATCTGAAAACAAGACTTGTGTAGCTACCTCCAGGTCAGAAAATAGAGCTTGGCTTGCCCCCTTTCTCAGAACATCCCACATGCCCCGGGGCTCTAACTGCTGAGCCTCTTTTCTAAGGACCTGTGATGGTAGTAGAGTAGTGGAGGCAGAGCTGTTAGATGACGACAGAACACATCTGGCAGATATTAACAGCATTAGCATCAGGCATTAGCATTAAACACATATACAAAAACAGGCAAACAGACTGATGGACAGACAGAAGTAGAGCTGGACAGACAGACAGATGGACAGACAGACTGACAGAACTAGAAACTGACAGATGAATGGACAAACGGAGAGACAGACAGGCAGACAGAGTATCTTTCAAATAGCCAACTGATTTGAACTACTCATAGACACTCCTGAACTCATCCTTGCAGTGACAACAGTAAAATAACTCTCTGACATCCAACCACCCAGCCAGGCAGTCATAGACAGGACAGGAGTGCTGAAAAGTCCTCACTGCCGGTATAGTAACTACATATCTAGGAAGTCTGTGAAAGACTGAAAAACTCCACCATCCATGAAGCTGTGAGCTCTGCTCTGCAATGGAGCATGCAACCTTCTGGCGAGGAATTCAGCCAAGACAGCTGCATATGTCCGAGACACACAGGGCGTGAAGGGTGAATTCATGACAGGTTTACAGTGTAACTGAATCCACTCAATCTGAATACATCACCGTTTGAACATAGGTGCGAGCTGAATGCAGGTTACGGTGTACTTTTCATCCACACTTGTGAAATGGGATCAGATTGTGATTAAATAAACATTTTGGAATGATATCTCTCTTTGTTCATTGTTTTTAAGATAGTGGCCCACCCTACAGTACCCCAGAGGGGGATGCAGGTTACACCCTATCAATGGGAAATGTTGCCACTCTTGTATAATCATGGGCAATTGAAACCATCCAATACATTTCAAGAATACAACGATTGTTTCAAATGCTGCATCCCAAAGTGTCTGTGGAAGTCAAAGTGTCTGTGGAAGTCAAAGTGTCTGTGGAAGTCAAAGTGTCTGTGGAAGTGTCTGGACTAGTGTGATATCAAATAAACAAGGCTGCTTCTTCTCACCAGTGTGACAAACTCTCACCCAGTAAGGTCATGCAACAGCACATGCCTTTCCTTCTGCAGTCCTATTGACATCATAATGGACAGTCTAGCATTATCACTGTTTGGTAACAGTACTAGTAATACTAGTTACAGTTGAAGTCGGAAGTTTACATACACCTTAGCCAAATACATTTAAACTCAGTTTTTCACAATTCCTGACATTTAATCCTAGTAACAATTCCCTGTCATTGGTCAGTTAGGATCACCACTATATTTTAAGAATGTGAAATGTCAGAATAATAGTAGAGATAATTATTTATTTAAGCTTTTATTTCTTTCATCACATTCCCAGAGGGTCAGAAGTTTACATACACTCAATTAGTATTTGGTAGCATTGCCTTTAAATTGTTTAACTTGGGTCAAACGTTTCGGGTAGCCTTCCACAAGCTTCCCACAATAAGTTGGGTGAATTTTGGCCGATTCCTCCTGACAGAGCTGGTGTAACTGAGTCAGGTTTGTAGGCCTCCTTGCTCGCACACGCTTTTTCAGTTCTGCCCACACATTTTCTATAGGATTGAGGTCAGGGCTTTGTGATGGCCACTCCAATACCTTGACTTTGTTGTCCTTAGCCATTTTGCCACAACTTTGGAAGTAAGCTTGGGGTCATTGTCCATTTGGAAGACCCATTTGCGACCAAGCTTTAACTTCCTGACTGATGTCTTGAGATGTTGCTTCAATATATCCACATCATTTTCCTTCCTCATGTTGCCATCTATTTTGTGAAGTGCACCAGTCCCGCCTGCAGCAAAGCACCCCCACAGCATGATGCTGCCACCCCCGTGCTTCACGGTTGGGATGGTGTTCTTCGGCTTGCAAGCGTTCCCCTTTTTCCTCCTGTCACACCCTGGCCTTAGTTATCTTTGTTTTCATTAATATTTTAGTTAGGTCAGGGTGTGACATGGTGAAGTATGTGTTTTGGTTTGTCTAGGGGTTTGTAGGTTTATGGGGTAATGTCTTGTCTAGGTGTTTGTATGTTGATGGCTGCCTGGATTGGTTCTCAATTGGAGACAGCTGTGGTTTATTGTCTCTAATTGGGAGCCATATTTAAGGCAGCCATGGGCATCATGTGTTTGTGGGTAATTGTCTATGTTGAACGTGTGTTGCTTGTCAGTGCACTTACGTTATTTAGCTTCACGGTCGTTTGTTGTTTTGTAAGTTTTGGATAGTGTTCGGTTTCGTGTTTTTCTCTCTTCCAAAATAAAGAGATGTATTTTGCACACGCTGCGTCTTGGTCCTCCTCCATGCTTGACGATCGTGACAGAATTACCCACCAATCTAGGACCAAGCGGCGTGTCAAGCGGCAACAGGACCCACCTACACAGGATTCATGGACATGGGAGGAGATACTGGATGGAAAGGGTCCTTGGGCACAACCGGGAGAAGTTCGCCGCCCTCGTGAAGAGCTGGAGGCAGCTAAAGCCGAGAGGAGGCGATATGAGGAGGCAGCACGGAGGCAAGGCTGGAAGCCCGTGAGCAATAGCCAAAAATTTCTTGGGGGGGGGCCTTAAAGGGAGTGTGGCAAAGTCAGGTAGGAGACCTGCGCCTACTCCCTGTACTTACCGTGGAGAGCGAGAGTACGGGCAGACACCGTGTTACGCAGTAGAGCGCATGGTGTCTCCTGTACGCGTGCATAGCCCGGTTCGGTACATTCCAGCTCCACGTATCGGCCGGGCTAGATTGAGCGTTGAGCCGGATGTCATGAAGCCGGCCCAACGCATCTGGCCACCGGTGCGTCTCCTCGGGCCGGCTTACATGGCACCAGCCTTACGCATGGTGTCCCCGGTTCGCCTACATAGCCCGGTGCGGGTTATTCCACCTTCCCGTACTGGTCGGGCGACGGGGAGCATACAACCAGGTAAGGTTGGGCAGGCTCAGTGCTCAAGGGAGCCAGTAAGCCTGCACGGTCCGGTATTTCCGGCGCCACCTCCCCGCTCCAGCCCAGTACCACCAGTGCCTACACCACGCACCAAGCCTCCTGTGTGTCCCCGGAGTCATGTGCGTCCTGTTGCTGCTCCCCGCACTAGCCCTGAGATGCGTGTCCTCAGCCCGGGACCACCAGTTCCGGCACCACGCACTAGGCCTTATGTGCGTCCCCAGGGTCCAGCATGCCCTGTTCCTTCTCCCCGCACTAGCCCTGAGATGCGTGTCCTCAGCCCGGGACCACCAGTTCCGGCACCACGCACTAGGCCTTATGTGCGTCCCCAGGGTCCAGCATGCCCTGTTCCTTCTCCCCGCACTAGACCTGAGATGCGTGTCCTCAGCCCGGTACCTCCAGTTCCGGCACCACGCACCAGGCCTATAGGGCGTCTCGGCCGGCCAGAGTCTGCCTTCTGCCTAACGGCGCCTGCACTGCCCGTCTGCCCAACGCCGTCTGAACTGTCCGTCTGCCAAGCGCTGCATGAACTGCCCGTCTGTACTGAGCCTGCTAAGCCGCCCGTCTGCCATGAGCCTTCAGAGCCGTCCGCCAGACAGGAGCCGCTAAAGCCTTCCGCCAGACAGGAGCCGCTAGAGCCTTCCGCCAGACAGGATCAGCCAGAGCCTTCCGCCAGACAGGATCAGCCAGAGCCTTCCACCAGACAGGATCAGCCAGAGCCTTCCGCCAGCCATGAGCAGCCAGATCCGTCAGCCAGCCATGAGCAGCCAGATCCGTCAGCCAGCCATGAGCAGCCAGATCCGTCAGCCAGCCATGAGCAGCCAGATCCGTCAGCCAGCCATGAGCCGTCCAGCCAGGATCCGCCAGAGCCGTCCAGCCAGGATCCGCCAGAGCCGTCCAGCCAGGATCCGCCAGAGCCGTCCAGCCGGGATCCGCCAGAGCCGTCCAGCCAGGATCCGCCAGCCAGCCAGGATCCGCCAGGGCCAGCCAGCCAGGATCCGCCATTCAGTCCGGTGCTGCCCCTTAGTCCGGTGCTGCCCCTTAGCCCGGTGCTGCCCCTTATCCTGGTGCTGCCCCTTATCCTGGTGCTGCCCCTTATCCTGGTGCTGCCCCTTATCCTGGTGCTGCCCCTTAGTCCGGTGCTGCCCCTTAGTCCGGTGCTGCCTCTTAGTCCGGTGCTGCCCCTTAATCCAGTGGGGTTAAGTTGGAGGGTGGTCATTTGGAGGAGGCTACGAAAGCGGGTAGTGACTATGGTGGGGTGGGGACCACGACCAGTGCCAGAGCCGCCACTGTGGACAGACGCCCACCCAGACCCTCCCCTAGACTTTATGCTGGTGCGCCCGGAGTTCGCACCTTAAGGGGGGGGTTATGTCACACCCTGGCCTTAGTTATCTTTGTTTTCATTAATATTTTAGTTAGGTCAGGGTGTGACATGGTGAAGTATGTGTTTTGGTTTGTCTAGGGGTTTGTAGGTTTATGGGGTAATGTCTTGTCTAGGTGTTTGTATGTTGATGGCTGCCTGGATTGGTTCTCAATTGGAGACAGCTGTGGTTTATTGTCTCTAATTGGGAGCCATATTTAAGGCAGCCATGGGCATCATGTGTTTGTGGGTAATTGTCTATGTTGAACGTGTGTTGCTTGTCAGTGCACTTACGTTATTTAGCTTCACGGTTGTTTTGTAAGTTTTGGATAGTGTTCGGTTTCGTGTTTTTCTCTCTTCCAAAATAAAGAGATGTATTTTGCACACGCTGCGCCTTGGTCCTCCTCCATGCTTGACGATCGTGACACCTCCAAACATAACGATGGTCATTATGGCAAAACAGTTCTATTTTGTTTCATCAGACCAGAGGACATTTCTCCAAAAAGTACAATTTTTGTCCCCATGTGCAGTTGCAAACCGTAGTCTGGCCTTTTTATGGCGGTTTTGGAGCAGTGGCTTCTTCCTTGCTGAGCGGCCTTTCAGGTTATGTCGATATAGGACTTGTTTTACTGTGGATATAGATACTTTTGTACCTGTTTCCTCCAGCATCTTCACAAGGTCCTTTGCTGTTGTTCTGGGATTGATTTGCACTTTTAGCACCAAAGTACGTTAATCTCTAGGAGACAGAACGCGTCTCCTTCCTGAGCGGTATGATGGCTGCGTGGTCCCATGGTGTTTCTACTTGCATACTATTGTTTGTACAGATGAACGTGGTACTTTCAGGCATTTGGAAATTGCTCCCAAGGATGAACCAGACTTGTGGAGGTCTACAATTTTTTTTCTGAGGTCTTGGCTGATTTATTTTGATTTTCCCATGATGTCAAGCAAAGATGCACTGAGTTTGAAGGTAGGCCTTGAAATACATCCACAGGTACACCTCCAATTGACTCAAATTATGTCAATTAGCCTATCAGAAGCTTCTAAAGCCATGGCATCATTTTCTGGAATTTTCCAAGCTGTTCAAAGGCACAGTCAACTTAGTGTATGTAAACTTCTGACCCACTGGAACTGTGATACAGTGAATTATAAGTGAAATAATCTGTCTGTAAACAATTGTTGGAAAAATTACTTTGTCATGCACAAAGTAGATGTCCTAACCGACTTGCCAAAACTATAGTTTGTTAACAAGAAATTTGTGGAGTGGTTGAAAAACAAGTTTTAATGACTGCAACCTAAGTGTATGTAAACTTCCGACTTCAACTGTATATGAATGATAACATTACATGTAGTACTGTTCACTGTTCACCGTTCTCTAGGAATTTCCTAGAAACAAAGATTCCCAGTGAAACAGTTTTCCATCTTCTGCAGAGGGCAACTTCTGCCTCCTCCCACAGGTGAGCAAAATACTCTGTCTTCTGCCTCCACCCACAGGTGAGCAAAACACTCTGTCTTCTGCCTCCACCCACAGGTGAGCAAAACACTCTGTCTTCTGCCTCCACCCACAGGTGAGCAAAATACTTGTCTTCTGCCTCCTCCCACAGGTGAACAAAATACTCTGTCTTCTGCCTCCACCCACAGGTGAGCAAAACACTCTGTCTTCTGTCTCCACCCACAGGTGAGCAAAACACTCTGTCTTCTGTCTCCTCCCACAGGTGAGCAAAACACTCTGTCTTCTGCCTCCACCCACAGGTGAGCAAAACACTCTGTCTTCTGCGTCCACCCACAGGTGAGCAAAACACTCTGTCTTCTGCGTCCACCCACAGGTGAGCAAAACACTCTGTCTTCTGCCTCCACCCACAGGTGAGCAAAACACTCTGTCTTCTGCCTCCACCCACAGGTGAGCAAAACACTCTGTCTTCTGCGTCCACCCACAGGTGAGCAAAACACTCTATCTTCTGCCTCCACCCACAGGTGAGCAAAACACTCCGTCTTCTGCCTCCACCCACAGGTGAGCAAAACACTCTGTCTTCTGTCTCCACCCACAGGTGAGCAAAACAAGTGCTGTTTTTTTTTACCTCATCCTTTTTGTCCTGGTTCTCGATGCCTCTCATGTCTCGACATCGCCTTGTTCAAAGGCACCATGAACAGCCAACCATAAAGGGCCAGATCCTATAACACATGTCCTCAAATGTGTCATGCTTCATTTCATAATATTTATTTATCTTATTCTTTTTCCATGCCTGGCGGGGGAATGAGACAGTTGAGACAGCTGATAAAACATCTCTTCCACTGCGCTTCGTCGCTCTTCACCAGAGGGAGATTCAGGACTTAATCTCACAGCTAATTACGGACAAGTCTTTAATGTACCGGCGCTCTATCCCCATCACGGCCCATTAAAAGAGCATGAAACGTTTGTAATTAGAATACACGGGTGGGGAAAGCCCAACCGCAGGTTTCAAGACATGCCTGTCATGTAGAGTTTGAAAAGATTTGACTTTTGAACCATTCACTGGGAGGATACCTTGAGTGATGCAGAACAAATCAAAACCAAGACACACCTTAACCCAACAGCTCTTAAAACAACCATCTCAAAAGCACTGGGTTTTCTTCCTACTAGCTGCAGCAGCACCCTTTTCTATGTGTCTGTGTTGAGACATTCATTCTAGCAGTGCTAGCTCAATAGCTCTCAGTGACTGGCACGGCGATCAGCATGGTCAAGCCCACCACAAAAGGTAACCCGAGCCCAAATACCACTTTTCAAGAAACTGTAAAAATAAAACATGGGGGTCCGGGAGGAATGCTGTCATTCTTCAGATAAGGGCCTTTTGAAAAGGGATCTCTGGGCCCATAGAACCCATCGCTCAGCCAGCCACTCTGACAGACATCAGGCCAGTACATAAATCATCTGCTCTGCTGGGGATGTCCAACGGCACAGCCAGAGTTTGGACTGGACCCATTAGGGCGGCATTGTCCTGGCTACCTCGCAGCTCGCATGACGCTCTGCTAACCTTGCATATGAGAAGGCCAAGATACAGTAATACCAGCAATGCATTTAGCATGGAATGGCTTCCGTGGTTTTTATGTCCATTAGCACACTTGGCTAAGTAACTACAGTAGATTTCTTGAATTTTTCATAAGCAAAGAAGGCCACATGCAACAGGCTAGCCAAGAAGAAAACACATAACAGAAAGTTCAGATATTCTGGGGAGAGGGAGAATACATACTCTCTGTGCACGGGACTCCCGGTTCCCATACAGTTGCATGTTCTGTAAAATGCAGGGGAAAGATGGATGCGGGCATGCAAGAGATATAACCATGTTAGAGATAGGGTAGAGAAATAACCATGTTAGTGATAGGGTAAAGATACAACCATGTTAGAGATCTACAGTGTACCACATCCACCATAATGTCTGTCTACAGTCTACCACATCCACAATAACGTCTGTCTACAGTCTACCACATCCACCATACTGTCTGTATACAGCCTACCACATCAACCATAATGTCTTTCTACAGTCTACCAAATCCACTACATCCACCATAATGTCTTTCTACAGTCTACCACATCCACCATACTGTCTGTCTACAGTCTACCACATACACCATACTGTCTGTCTACAGTCTACCACATCCACCATAATGTCTGCCTACAGCCTACCACATTCACCATAATGTATGTCTACAGTCTACCACATCCACCATACTGTCTGTCCACAGTCTACCACATCCACCATACTGTCTGCCTACAGCCTACCACATCCACCATACTGTCTGTCCACAGTCTACCACATCCACCACATCCACCATACTCTGTCCACAGTCTACCACATCCACCATAATGTCTGTCTACAGTCTACCATATCCACCATAATGTCTGTCTACAGTCTACCACATCCACCATAATGTCTGTCTACAGTCTACCACATCCACCATAATGTCTGCCTACAGCCTACCACATCCACCACATCCACCATACTGACTGTCTACAGTCTACCATATCCACCATACTGTTTGTCTACAGTCTACCACATCCAGCATAATGCCTGTCTACAGTCTACCATATCCACCATAATGTCTGTCTACAGTCTACCACATCCACCATAATGTCTGTCTACAGTCTACCACATCCACCATAATGTCTGCCTACAGCCTACCACATCCACCACATCCACCATACTGTCTGTCTACAGTCTACCATATCCACCATACTGTCTGTCTACAGTCTACCACATCCACCATACTGTCTGTCCACAGCCTACCACATCCACCATACTGTCTGTCTAAAGTCTACCACATCCACCCTATAGTCTGTCCACAGTCTACCACATCCACCATACTGTCTGTCTAAAGTCTACCACATCCACCATAATGCCTGTCTACAGTCTACCACATCCACCATAATGCCTGTCCACAGTCTACCACATCCACCATAATGTCTGTCTACAGTCTACCACATCCACCATACTGTCTGTCCACAGTCTACCACATCCACTCTACTGTCTGTCCACAGTCTACCACATCCACCATACTGTCTGTCTACAGTCTACCACATCCACCATACTGTCTGTCCACAGTCTACCACATGCACCATACTGTCTGTCTACAGTCTACCACATCCACCATAATGCCTGTCCACAGTCTACCACATCCACCATACTGTCTGTCTACAGTCTACCACATCCACCATACTGTCTGTCTACAGTCTACCACATCCACCATAAAGCCTGTCTACAGCCTACCACATCCACCATAATGCATGTCTACAGTCTACCCCATCCACCATACTGTCTGTCCACAGTCTACCACATCCACCATAATGCCTGTCTACAGTCTACCACATCCATCATACTGTCTGTCTACAGTCTACCACATCCACCATACTGTCTGTCCACAGTCTACCACATCCAACCATAATGCCTGTCTACATTCTACCACATCCACCATACTGTCTGTCTACAGTCTACCACATCCACCATACTGTCTGTCTACAGTCTACCACATCCACCATAATGTCTGTCTACAGTCTACCACATCCACCATAATGCCTGTCTACAGTCTACCACATCCACCATACTGTCTGTCTACAGTCTACCACATCCACCATACTGTCTGTCCACAGTCTACCACATCCACCATACTGTCTGTCTACAGTCTACCACATCCACCATACTGTCTGTCTACAGTCTACCACATCCACCATAATGTATGTCTACAGTCTACCACATCCACCATAATGTCTGTCTACAGTCTACCACATCCACCATAATGCCTGTCTACAGTCTATGACATCCACCATACTGTCTGTCTACAGTCTACCACATCCACCATAATGTCTGTCTACAGTCTACCACATCCACCATACTGTCTGTCTACAGTCTACCACATCCACCGTACTGTCTGTCCACAGTCTACCACATCCACCATATTGTCTGTCCACAGTCTACCACATCCACCATACTGTCTGTCTACAGTCTACCACATCCACCATAATGCCTGTCTACAGTCTACCACATCCACCATACTGTCTGTCTACAGTCTACCACATCCACCATACTGTCTGTCCACAGTCTACCACATCCACCATAATGTCTGTCTAGTCTACCACATCCACCATAATGTCTCTCTAAAGGTCTACCACATCCACCATAATGCCTGTCTACAGTCTACCACATCCACCATACTGTCTGTCTACAGTCTACCACATCCACCATAATGTCTGTATACAGTCTACCACATCCACCATACTGTCTGTCTACAGTCTACCACATCCACCATACTGTCTGTCTACAGTCTACCACATCCACCATACTGTCTGTCTACAGTCTACCACATCCACCATACTGTCTGTCTACAGTCTACCACATCCACCATACTGTCTGTCTACAGTCTACCACATCCACCATACTGTCTGTTTACAGTCTACCACATCCACCATAATGCCAGTCTACAGTCTACCACATCCACCATACTGTCTGTCTACAGTCTACCACATCCACCATACTGTCTGTCTACAGTCTACCACATCCACCATACTGTCTGTCCAGTCTACCACATCCACCATACTGTCTGTCTACAGTCTACCACATCCACCATAATGTCTGTCTACAGTCTACCACATCCACCATACTGTCTATATACAGTCTACCACATCCACCATACTGTCTGTCCACAGTCTACCACATCCACCATACTGTCTGTCTACAGTCTACCACATCCACCATACTGTCTGTCTAGTCTACCACATCCACCATAATGTCTGTCTACAGTCTACCACATCCACCATACTGTCTGTCTATAGTCTACCACATCTACCATGTCTGTCTACAGTCTACCACATCCACCATACTGTCTGTCTACAGTCTGTATTGTTCCAAACTTTAAATGAATAATGGGGAAACGTTGGTCTTCGTAATTTCTATCTAACTGACTGCACCCTACAGGAATTAATACCTAGAATAAATGCAATAAGTGAAATGCATGTCCTAAATGTGGAGAATATTAATTGGGGGAGAAACACCAAAGAAATGCCTCTCCTTACCAGCTTGTCAGACCTTGGAGCACCATCCGCTGCTTCTTTGCGATCCTTTTTCTTACGGAAGATTTCCTCAAGCTGGTTAGAAGAAGACAGAAGACGTTGAGATGTTCTTCAGACTCCCTTCACTGACCAAAGGAACTATCCTTCTCATTTAATCTTAAAATAATGACATACCACCAAGAACTCCCGTTTGTCCACCATTTGGTTTCCATCTGCATCAAACATGTTGAAAGCTATCTTAAAGCCAGCATGAGGCTCTGGGAAAGGACAGAGAAAAGAGATAAGACAAGAGACCACGTTCAAACTAACATCTAACGTATGTTTTCTTTTTTTATCAAATATCTAATCAAACATACTTACTTGTTAAAATGCAAAGCAGGAATAGATACTCTGTGTAACCGATGATGCCTGAAAAAAAACCTTGACTGTCATAACTGTATTCAGAAAGTTCATAAAATAATTGAACATTAAAGTCTAGCAGTTCACTTGAGTTATTTAGAGTTGTTCAAAGTCATGCCCTAACCCTTCACATGAATGAAATACCCCATGAAACAGTGCACACCTCTAGACAACAGCTAATCTTCTCTTTCATATTGATAACATCTTAAAAAGGTGCCTCTTAATTCATGGTTGGTGTTCTCGTCCCACGAACAGAGGCTTTACAATGTAAGTGACCCATCTGGACACAAACCCCCAAAAAATGAAGCCCCAGTGCTGGCTTCGGAGCGACCTCTGTTTGGATAACAAGGTGTAAAACATTCTCAAGTGATCTGTCACTGATTGTGGATGTCTGATTCGGCTTTGTGTTCCTTTATTTGTTCTAGAACTCCCTTTGTTGTGTGACTGCGAGGAAAAGAGAAGAGTAACTGTCAGGGTCCATCTCAGTAGACTGAGGAGGGTTGTCTTGCTACCTCTGAAAGCATTCCCAAGCTTTTGTTTGCAGGAGAAGACAGTGACTCCAGCACAGATAGCTCTGGGTGTTATGGGAAAAAGATTCAGGTATGGCCTTTGCTCCAGGGAGATTTCCCCCACAAAAAGGACACTTGGGAGGAAAATATACTATGAATGGACATTGGTAGTGCATCCAATAAAATCCTCTTTATTTATATTTCTGATACTCCTTATCATATAAGTGATGTTCTCCAGATATCTGATGTTTGTCTGCGTTTGGATTGTTGAATGCGGTGGGGAAGTACTGGATGTCAACAGAGAATTTCTGTTGAAAAGTCCCAATGAAATGGTGCATCGAAACATGAGTCACTGATCTGCTCGAGAACTTCTCTGTTGAAAATGTATAGGGCCTTAAAATGACTAAAGTTCCCTGGCTTCAAATACCTTTTAAGGCTTAAATACGTTGGAGGGAAGAAATCTTTAAGATTCCAACCATGTCTCACCAATACCACACACACCTTCACTCAGGGAGAGAGAAACCTTCCTCCCCTCCCCAACCCACCCCTTCCCTTCCCTCCCCAACCCTTCCAACCTCTGAGCTCAAGTAGATGTTGTCAGACAATAGAAATAATTCCTCAGAAACACTTCGTACAGAGTGGCAGAACCGGAGATGTAATCCTACTCCATTCTTAGGATTCATCATGTCCATGGTGATCAGGAGGCAGCCAGTGAGACATGCCTCAACATAACCGGGTTCAAACAGCTCCTCTCATTCTCTAAAGCAAGGCTTTGTTCGCTGATCAATCCAATCCCTTTTTTCTCGGCAAAGCCGCCACGTTTAACAGCAGGATTAAAAGCCCCAGATCCCAGCGTTGGCACTTAGCTAAAGCAACAGAGGAGAGAGCAGGGAGAACGTATACACCAAACACAGGGTTTGAAATGCAGGGAGGGATGTTCACTTCTTCAAGGAGCAGTGAGAACAGGGTACTTGAAGCATGTTTCCATGAAAATAGCAACATTGAAGAACACTTACAATTATCTCCTTTCCTCAGCTTGTCAATATTGTAGCGAACGGAGGGAGCGGGAAGTGAACACTGGTCTCTGGTGTAAAAGGCAAACACTATGCATCGCACCAATAGGTTTAACGTACTTGGTGGGAATTGTAACGTGGCTCATACTGCGAGGATCGCTACACTATTTCAAAAATACAAGTACATCTCATTCTCAGTATGGGGATGTAGTTTATTCTAACTGGTAACGGTATCGACGCTAATCAATGTTAACTGGTATATCCTATATAGGGTAGATTTCCTTCACCCTCATATCTAAGGTTCCCTGAGAGCAAATTACAACATCACTAGATTGATGGAAAGATAAGATGGTGTTTACTGCCTGTACTCTGTTCTCGATTGATTTGGTATATGGAAACTGCAAACATTCCATTGGCCCATATTCTTGATGATAGAGAGTTAAGGAGTCTCACCTCGGTGACGTAGGTTCCTGAATAAATTGGATGATCCTTTAAAAACAGGAGGGGTGTCTGCCAGTATCTGTTCCAACTCCTTCAACAATGGAAGAAAATCACAAAGTGTTTACTCATTGAAGAATCAGTACACAAACATGGGTAATTCATTATTATTCACTGAGTGTACAAAACATTAGGAACACCTTCTCTTTCCATGACATAGACTGACCAGGTGAACCCAGGTGAAAGCTATGATCCCTTATTGATGTCACTTGTTAAATCCACTTCAATCAGGGTAGATGAAGGGGAGGAGACAGGTTAAAGAATAATCTTTAAGCCTTGGGACAATTGAGACATGGATTGTGTATGTGTGCCATTCAATGGACAAGACAAAAGATTGACATGCCTTTGAACGGGGTATGGTAGTAGCTGCCAGTTGCACTGGTTTGTGTCAAGAACTGCAACGCTGCTGGGTTTTTCATGCTCAACAGTTTCCCTTGTGTATCAAGAATGGTCCACCACCCAAAGGACATCCAGCCAACTTGACACTACTGTGGGAAGCATTGGAGTCAACATGGGCCAGCATCCCTGTGGAACACTTTGGACACCTTGCAGAGTCCATACCCTGACGAATTGAGGCTGTTTGGAGGGCAAAAGGGGGTGCAACTCAATATTAAGAAGGTGTTCCTAATGTTTTGTACACTCAGTGTACATCGATTCTTCTCTAAGAAGAGAAAAGCAGGGTTATATTTCAAATACATTTTCACACTTGTCTATGCATGCAGTGCTATAATCACAAACATCCCACCTGTTTTGTTAGAGACCTCCAAATCCTCTTTTCTAAAAAGAAATTCAGAATTCATTTTTTAAAAACACAATAAAATAACAATTATTCACACAACATGCTATAAACAAGCCTATAATGTACTTTATGGTTGAAAAACAAGTGGCTATGTGTATGAAAGGACAGCTGGACTCAGGGCTGTACTGAAACATGAGTACCATATCTCCAGGAACGCATTCCAATACTCCATAAAAAGGTCCCTGGTCATAAGATAAGGCGTTGGCTTCATAAAAACACCTGGCTAGGTGATTCACATGGCCCTACCACCCCAGAGGGACGATAACAGTGACAATAACCTTAAGGTCTGTTTCTGATGAAGGAAGCAGTTATGATGACCCTTTGCTTTATAGGGCTCTCCCACCAAACTGAGGTGTCTGGGTGGACAAGCAAATATAACAGGAAGGGGCAATCCTCATTTTGTGCATTTAATCCCCTGAAAAGTTCATTCACATTCACACCAAGGACTGAAATGTATAAAGATTAGGGTGACCCAGGGGTTTCATGGCACAGTGGTCCAGTAAAAATACACTGAACAAAAATATAAACGCAACATGTGTTGGTCCCAGGTTTCATGAGGTCAAATAAAATATCCCAGATATTTTCCAAAATAATCCATCCACCTGACAGGATTGGCATATCAAGAAGCTGATTAAACAGCATGATCAAAATGTGCAGTTTTGTCACACCACACAATGCCACAGATGCCACAGATTGGCAATGCCACAAATGTCTCAAGTTTTGAGGGAGCGTGCAATTGGCATGCTGACTGCAGGAATGTACACCAGAGCTGTTGCCAGAGAATTGAATATTAATTTCTCTACCATAAGCCGCCTCCAACGTCGTTTTAGAGAATTTGGCAGTACGTCCAACCGGCCTCACAACCGCAGACCACGCATAACCACGCCAACCCAGGACCTCCACATCTGGCTTCTTCACCTGCAGGATCGTCTGAGACCAGCCTACCGGACAGCTGATGAAACTGAGGTGTATTTCTGTCTGTAATAAAGCCCTTTTGTGGAGAAAAACTCATTCTGATTGGCTCGGCCTGGCTCCCCAGTGGGTGGGCCTATGCCTTCCGAGGCCCACCAATGGCTGCGCCCCTGCCCAGTCATGTGAAATCCATAGATTAGGGCCTAATGAATGTATTTCAGTTGACTGATTTCCTTATATGAACTGTGACTCAGTAAAATCATTGAAATTGTTGCATGTTGCATTTATATTTTTGTTCAGCATACATTGTTCATTGTACATACCATGAAATACTAAGGTCACCAATGGTCCAGCATAAGATCTTTGCGGTTTTGACTGAAATGTTGATGAAAAAACCCTGAGAAAACTATGTGGAGCAATGCTAACTATGTCTCTACTGTAAAACAGACACATCAACACAGACTATGAACTCTTTCATTAGACATCCATCAGTCTCGAACAATGGGGCCCAGAGATATACTGGTGCCTTTCCCAACAGATATCTTAGCCTCAGTCTAGGAATACATTGGGTCAGGGCTTATTTGGCTGGCTGGCTGGCTCGTTCTTTGAAGAGAGAAAATCATTAAAATGACTAGAAAAGAGAGACCATTTACCTTGGCAGAATTAAAACCAATACTGTTCTAAGCAAACAGGCAATTCCTCAGAAATACCTGAGATGCTCCCTTTTCCTCATGGGAACAAGTTTGAAACCACCCACATAGGCTCCCACAATACCATATACAGTGCATTTAGAAAGTATTCATACCCCTTGACTTATTCCACATTTTGTTGTGTTACAGTCTGAAATCAAAATGGATTAAATAGATTTTGACAAAGTGAAAACATGTTTTATTTACTGAAAATGAAATACAGAAATATCTCATTTACAAATGTATTTACACCCCTGAGTCAATACTTTTTAGAAGCACCTTTGGCAGTGATTACAGCTGTGAGTCTTTCTGGGTAAATCTCTAATAGCTTTGCACAGCTGGATTGTACAAAATGTGCTCATTATTCTTTTTTAAATTCTTCAATCTCTGTCAAGTTAATTGTTGATCATTGCTAGACAGCCATTTTCAAGTCTTGCCATAGATTTTCAAGCTGATTTAAGTCAAAACTGTAACTAGGCCACTCAGGAACATTCAATATCATCTTGGTAAGCAACTCCAGTGTATTTTGGCCTTTTGTTTTAGGTTATTGTCCTGCTGAAAGGTGAATTTGTCTCCCAGTGTCTGTTGGAAAGCAGACTGAAGAAGGTTTTCCTCTAGGATTTTGGCTGTGCTTAGCTCTATTCTGTTTCTTTTTATCTTAAAAAACTCCCTTGCCGATGACAAGCATACCCATAACATGATGTAGCCAGCACCATGCTTGAAAATATGAAGAGCGGTACTCAGTGATGTGTTGTGTTGGATTTGCCCCAAACACTTTGAATTCAGGAAAAAAAGTTAATTTCTTTGCCAAATATTTTGCACTATTACTTAAGTGCCTTGTTGCAAACAGGATGCATGTCTTGGAATATTTGTATTCTGTACAGGCTTCCTTCTTTTCACTCTGTCATTTAGGTTAGTATTGTGGAGTAACTACAGTTGAAGTTGGAAGTTTACATACACCTTAGCCAAATACATTTAAACTCAGTTTTTCACAATTCCTGATATTAAATACTAGTAAAAATTCCATGTCATTGGTCAGTTAGGATCACCACTTTATTTTAAGAATGTGAAATGTCAGAATAATAGTAGAGAGAATGATTTATTTCAGCTTTTATTTCTTTCATCACATTCCCAGTAGGTCAGAAGTTTACATACACTCAATTAGTATTTGGTAGCATTGCCTTTAAATTGTTTAACTTGGGTCAAACATTTCGGGTAGCCTTCCACAAGCTTCCCACAATAAGTTGGGTGAATGTTGGCCCATTCCTCCTGACAGAGCTGGTGTAACTGAGTCAGGTTTGTAGGCCTCCTTGCTCGCACATGCTTTTTCAGTTCTGCCCACAAATGTTCTATAGGATTGAGGTCAGGGCTTTGTGATGGCCATTCCAGTACCTTTACTTTGTTGTCCTTAGCCATTTTGCCACAACTTTGGAAGTATGCTTGGGGTCATTGTTCATTTGGAAGACCCATTTGCGACCAAGCTTTAACTTCCTGACGGATGTCTTGAGATGTGCTTCAATATATCTACATAATTTTCCTTCCTCATGATGCCATCTATTTTGTGAAGTGCACCAGTCCCTCCTGCAGCAAAGCACCTCCACAGCATGATGCTGCCACCCCCGTGCTTCACGGTTGGGATGGTGTTCTTCGGCTTGTAAGGGACCCCCTTTTTCCTCCAAACATAACGATGGTCATTATGGCCAAACAGTTCTATTTTTGTTTCATCAGACCAGAGGACATTTCTCCAAAAAGTACGATCTTTGTCCCCATGTGCAGTTGCAAACCGTAGTCTGGCTTTTTTATGCTGGTTTTGGAGCAGTGGCTTCTTCCTGATTTCTTTTGATTTTCCCATGATGTCAAGCAAAGAGTCACTGAGTTTGAAGGTAGGCCTTGAAATACATCCACAGGTACACCTCCAATTGACTCAAATTATGTCAATTAGCCTATCAGAAGCTTCTAAAGCCATGACATCATTTTCTGGAATTTTCCAGGAACAGTCAACTTCTGAGCCACTGGAATTGTGATACAGTGAATTATAAGTGAAATCATCTGTAAACAATTGTTGGAAAAATTACTTGTGTCATGCACAAAGTAGATGTCCTAACCGACTTGCCAAAACTATAGTTTGTTAACAAGAAATGTGTGGTTGAAAAACGAGTTTTAATGACTCCAACCTAAGTGTATGTAAACTTCCGACTTCAACTGTATAATGTTGTTGATCCATCCTCAGTTTTCTCATATCACAACCATTAAATCCCTGAGCAGTTTTCTTCGTCTCCGGCAACTGAGTTAGGAAGGACACCTGTATCTTTGTAGTGACTGGGTGTATTGACACACCATTCAAAACCTAATTATGAACTTCACCATGCTCAAAAGATATTCAGGGTCTGCTTTTTGTATTTTTACCCATCTACCAATTCATTGCGAGGCATTGAAAAACCTCCATGGTCTTTGTGGTTGAATCTGTGTTTGAAATTCACTGCTCGACTGAGGGACCTTACATATAATTGTATGTGTTGGGTATAGAGATGGGGTAGTTATTCAGAAATCATGTTAAACACTATTATCGAACAAGGATAGTCCATGAAACTTAATTATGTGATTTGTAAAGCATATGTTTACTCCTGAACTTATTTAGGCTTGCCATAAGAAAGAGGTTGAATACTTATTGACTCAAGACATTTCCAGCTTTAACATTTGTATTAATTTCTAAAACGTTCTACAAACAAAATTCCACTTTGACATTATGGGGTATTGTGTGTAGGTCAGTCACACAACATCTCAATTTAATCAATTTTAAATTCAGGCTGTAACACAACAAAATGTGGAAAAAGGGGTGTGAATACTTTCTGAAGCCACTGTAGGTTACCACAATACCATATACACTACCAGTCAAAAGTTTGGACACACCTACTCATTCAAGGGTGTTATTCTGCAATGTTTACATTGCAGAATAATAGTGAAGACATCAAAACTATGAAATAACACATATGGTATCATGTAGTAACCAAGAAAGTGCTAAACAAATCAAAATACATGTTATATTTGAGATTCTTCAAATAGCCACCCTTTGCCTTGATGACAGCTTTGCACACTCTTGGCATTCTCTCAACCAGCTTCATGAGGTAGTCACCTGGAATGCATTTCAATTAACAGGTGTGCCTTCTTAAAAGTTAATTTGTGGAATTTATTTCCGTCTTAATGCATTTGAGCCAATCAGTTGTTGTGACAAGGTAGGGGGGGGTATACAGAAGATAGCCCTATTTGGTAAAAGACCAAGTCCATATTATGGCAAGAACAAAAAAAGCAAAGAGAAACGACAGTCCATCATTACTTTAAGACATGAAGGTCAGTCAATGCTGAAAATGTCAAGAACGTTGAAAGTTTATTCAAGTGCAGTCGCAAAAACCATCAAGTGCTATGATGAAACTGGCTCTCATGAGGACCACCACAGGAATGGAAGACCCAGAGTTACCCCTAATGCAGAGGATAAGTTCATTAGAGTTACCAGCCTCAGAAATTGCAGCCCAAATAAATGCTTCACAGAGTTCAGGTAACAGACACATCTAAACATCAACTGTTCAGAGGGGACTGTTTGAATCAAGCCTTCATGGTCGAATTGCTGCAAAGAAATCACTACTAAAGGACACCAATAAGAAGAAGATACCTGCTTGGGCCAAGAAACATGAGCAATGGACATTAGACAGATGGAAATTTGTCCTTTGGTCTGGAGTCCAAATTGGAGATTTTTGGTTCAAACCGCCGTGTCTTTGTGAGACGCGGTGTGGGTGAACGGATGATCTCAACATGTGTAGTTCCCACCGTAAAGCATGGAGGAGGAGGTGTTATGGTGTGGGGGTGCTTTGCTGGTGACACTGTCTGTGATTTATTTAGAATTCAAGGCACACTTAACCAGCATGGCCACCACAGCATTCTGCAGCGATACGCCATCCCATCTGGTTTGGGCTTAGTGGAACTATAATTTGTTTTTCAACAGGACAATGACCCAACACACCTCCAGGCTGGTTAAGGGCTTTTTTACCAAGAAGGAGAGTGATGGAGTGCTGCATCAGATGACCTGGCCTCCACAATCCCCTGACCTCAACCCAATTGAGATGGTTTGGGATGAGTCGGACGGCAGAGTGAAGGAAAAGCAACCAACAAGTGCTCAGCATATGTGGGAACTCATTCAAGACTGTTGGAAAAGCATTCCAGGTGAAGCTGGTTGAGAGAATGCCAAGAGTGTGCAAAGCTCTCATCAAGGCAAAGGGTGGCTATTTGAAGAATCTCAAATATAAAAGTTTTGATGTCTTCACTATTATTCTACAATGTAAACAATTGTAAAAAATAAAGAAAAACCCTTGAATGAGTAGGTGTGTCCAAACTTTCGACTGGTACTGTAGGTTACCATAATACCATATAGATTACCACAATACCATATAGGTTACCACAATACCACATAGGTTACCACAATACCATATAGGTTACACAATACCACATAGGTTTCCACAATACCACATACTGTAGGTTACCACAATATCATATCAGTTACCACAATACCATATAGGTTACCACAATACCACATAGGTTACCGCAATACCATATAGGTTACCACAATACCATATAGGTTACTACTATACCATATGGGTTACCACAATACCATATAGGTTACTACTATACCATATAGGTTACCACAATACCATATAGGTTACCACAATACATATAGGTTACTACTATACCATATAGGTTACCACAATACCATATAGGTTACCACAATATCATACAGGTTACTAGTATACTATATAGGTTACCACAATACCATATAGGTTACCACAATACCACATAGGTTACCACAATACCATATAGGTTACTACTATACCATATAGGTTACCACTATACCATATAGGTTACCACAATACCACATAGGTTACCACAATACCATATAGGTTACTACAATACCACATAGGTTACCACAATACCATATAGGTTACCACAATACCATATAGGTTTCCACAATACCACATAGGTTACTACAATACCATATAGGTTACCACAATACCATATTGGTTTCCACAATACCACATAGGTTACCACAATACCACATAGGTTACCACAATACCATATAGGTTACCACAATACCATATTGGTTTCCACAATACCACATAGGTTACCACAATACCATATAGGTTACTACTATACCATATAGGTTACCACTATACCATATAGGTTACCACAATACCACATAGGTTACCACAATACCATATAGGTTACTACAATACCATATAGGTTTCCACAATACCATATAGGTTTCCACAATACCACATAGGTTACCACAATACTATATAGGTTACCACAATAACACATAGGTTACCACAATACCACATAGGTTACCACAATACCATATAGATTACCACAATACCATATAGGTTACCACAATACCACATAGGTTACCATAATACCATATAGGTTACCACAATACCATATAGGTTTCCACAATACCACATAGGTTACACAATACCACATAGGTTTCCACAATACCACATACTGTAGGTTACCACAATACCACATACTGTAGGTTACCACAATATCATATCAGTTACCACAATACCATATAGGTTACCAAAATACCATATAGGTTACTACTATACCATATAGGTTACCACAATACCATATAGGTTACCACAATACATATAGGTTACTACTATACCATATAGGTTACCACAATACCATATAGGTTACCACAATATCATACAGGTTACTAGTATACTATATAGGTTACCACAATACCATATAGGTTACCACAATACCACATAGGTTACCACAATACCATATAGGTTACTACTATACCATATAGGTTACCACTATACAATATAGGTTACCACAATACCACATAGGTTACCACAATACCATATAGGTTACTACAATACTATATAGGTTACCACAATAACACATAGGTTACCACAATACCACATAGGTTACCACAATACCATATAGGCTCCCACAATATTTGAAAACAGGGGACTAATTTTAATTGAACAGCAACACAAAGCAAAGGTATATTTATATGAAATACTGTATGTAAATTATGAGAATATTCTGTGATGTATAATGGCCCTATATCCCAGACTTTTCCAAACATCCTCAGTCAGGGAAAAAACATATCTAATTTTACAACCACAGCATAAAACCATAAAACGTCAGTATCCCTATTTCGTAACGCATTAGCCATCAGAGAGAGTGAGGAGAGAGGGCTGACGCAATGTGTGCTATTCACATTAGTGCTCCATTTATAACCTTCTTACATGCCAGGGAAACCAAGACACACCACATCAACAGGCCCCAGAATACAGGGATGTGTCCCAAATGGCACCCTATTCCCTACATAGGGCACTATCTAGGGAATTGGGTGTCATTTGGGACGGAGACAAGATCTTTATTCAATCCCAATACTTTGAGTTTATATCTGATCATTTACAATGTATTTAACTGTTTCTAATGTAGTGACTAAAATCATCATGATTCACAAAAGACGTCATGAATGCCTAACACTTGAGACATGCTGTTTTGTCTCCGTCTGTCTGTTCGTCTGTCTGTCCGTCAGAGTTTGTTGCTACAGAAAGGAGACGTAACAGTGGTGCTGCTAGTAAAGATCTGTATCTACTTGACTCCTAGCCAATCACACAGCTATTCTTATGTCACTCACAAGGCCTTTACATAAAGAATGTTGATGTGAGTCTTGAGCAAACAACATTGGCACCTCAGACTCTACCATCATCATACGTACAGTACAGAATAGAACTGCTGAAGATTGATATTTGATCAGCACCATATGTCAACATCTTAGTTTGATGTCTATTTATCGACTATATGAGGAGATGCAATGAGTGGTGGGTGTTTAGGATGTGTGTGTGTGTGTGTGTGTGTGTGTGTGTGTGTGTGTGTGTGTGTGTGTGTGTGTGTGTGTGTGTGTGTGTGTGTGTGTGTGTGTGTGTGTGTGTGTGTGTGTGTGTGTGTGTGTGTGTGTGTGTGTGTGTGTGTGTGTGTGTGTGTGTGTGTGTGTGTGTGTGTGTGTGTGGGTGTGTGTGCGTGCGTGTGTGCATGTTGGTTAGTACTCACTCTTAGGCTCACCCATGGTGACAGACTCAATGAAGTTCAGTGGGGTCATATAGAGCTGTCCCTCGTATTCCACTGAGCTGAACAACCGAAACCTGGCCTCATGGGACGACATGTACACATCCCCATCATCCAGATCAAATGTCTTGGCCTGAAACAAAACACACCCAGATACACACACAAATACACACACATCACACACGCATCACACACACACACATATATACCCCAAATAATTGATAACGTTTTTAAGCAAAGTGTGAGAAAAATGAATAGTTTTAAAAACAACATATTTCTTCATGGTTAAAGATTAGTGTGGTTTTATGGCCAATGCATGCTTCACATGTCTAGAAAAGCCACATTCTAATACGCAATTATTTATCCCTTATTTTACCAGGTAAGTTGACTGAGAACACATTCTCATTTACAGCATCGACCTGGGGAATAGTTACAGGGGAGAGGAGGGGGATGAATGAGCCAATTGGAAGCTGGTGATGACAACTAGAACCCATGTTCTACTTCAAAGAATGGGTGCCATGTTTTGTCAGCCAGTTATTCAGGCCTGTGCACCAGATCATTTCCCTACAAATGTTTAAAAACAGCGATATCAGGAGGCAGGTCTGCCTGGCCTGGTGAGGACAGAGTGGACCTCTCTCTGGTGGCAGAGCGCCAGGCCCACTGGGCTTACAGCAAACACCTCAGGGAATGTGTGCCCCCTTCTTCCCCACCCTCTCCCCTGCCCCCTCCCCCACCGGGTAAACCCCCACCATCAAATGTCAGCCCCTCCGCCAAGTCCTCGTGTCCAGTTTCCTACATTCCAGGATTCCTGTGTCTCAAACCCCAGTCAAGGTTACATCAAGCCACCTCCCCCCACCACCACTCCCACCCTCACCAAACCTGCCAACTAAACAGAGGGAGGGAGAGCAACGCCTCACTGGGCCTTATTGGTTTCCACTGTTATTATTGTCACTGCCTGTCTTTTTGCCTGTATGTGTCCAAGTCTTCTCGCTCTATGGAAATAGCCCTATACAAGTATATAATAACGTCATTTGAATCTAAATTCACTTGCAAGATCATTTTTAAAAGAGAAAAACATTAAATAGACCTGTACATAACATTTCCGCATTTCAGCACCCCATGTCGTGGACAGCGCCCTTGTCATAATGGGGCAAATAGTCACATAGGTCCATTTAAATTAAATGCCCGTGGGTGTTTCTGTCTACACAATGCATTCCTATTTGATCGTATTTGATTTATGCCATGGGTTTTTTACTATTACGGAACGTCAACCTTGAATCTAAACAAAAAATAAGAGTAATTTCAGCTCTGCTTCGCGCTGTGAGTTCAGTGGGCATGTTGACGTGTAGCTACAGGGTCACTCACTGGTAGCCTATCAATATTAGGCTATCTGCTAGGCTACTATATAGACAGATAAAAATGCTATTTATTATACATGCTATATATACTAATGTCCCATGCCATGACAAGTAGGCTATACAATACCTTATTTGTCGCAGATACTGCAGGTAATGCGAGAAGTAAACCATTATCGATTTGGGTTGACAGTTTCTTTTGGACATTGTAATAATTCGCAAAACCAGCTCCGGTGGCGATACATACTCCAGTTGCAATACGTTTAAATGTTTTAGTTCTCTTTGGTGTTTGTTTCCAAAATACAAATCTCCCTGATGTAGATGAGAAATTAGTCGATGTGGAAATAAGTCTACGGAAGGCAGCCATGGTTGTTGTTCATTGAAGCGTCATAGCAGAAGATCGCGGCAAACTGTTATTTTCCATCGCGAGATAATCCGCGTGACGTTTCACCCCGTTTCACCTGAATGTTTTTGCGCTTCCCAGTGCTATAGCGGCTCTCACTCAAGAATCAAAGTTTCTCTTAAGAATTTTTCGGGATAATATGATAAAGCCTTGAAATAGAGCCATCACATTGCATTGATTATATAGCTCAATACATAGGCTACTGTATCTGTTGTTTCATGTGTAAGTATTTTGATCACGGTGTTTGGTTGTGGTAGTTGCTCGTGCTGGCTGGTGCAGTGCAAACTGAAGGAGGCTAATGAGTGTGGGAATGCGATTGGACTGTCACTATCATTGCCATAGGTAAGTAGAAAAGTACAATCAATGGCCAAAATATTGCAATGTTACCAAATATATGATCAAACTCTCTCTCTCTCTCTCTCTCTCTCTCTCTCTCTCTCTCTCTCTCTCTCTCTCTCTCTCTCTCTCTCTCTCTTTCTGGGTGTCTTATTTTATACTTTAGGAAGAAAATAATCTCTGCCAAGGCAAGTCTGAACGACAGCCCCGCCCACTAAAAATCCTCGTCATTTTGCACCTGCCTCACGTCTTTAGGCAGTGTGTTCGCAAGCCTCCAACAGCTAGCCTACCTTACCTGCAGAGCAGTGGTCTAGTGTTTCTCATAGAAAGAGGGGTTGGATACATTGGTATCTCTCTGGAAAAGATTCTGACTTCCTACTGTATTTGATTTTCAAAATTTTCCAACCCTTCATGAGCCGTGGGAACTACTAGAATTGAACAACATTATCTTACCTCAACTGATGAAGACATCAAGCGGTAGGGTCACATTTTGGAACGAATTTGTGCTCATAACGCATATGCCACGAGAGCTCATTTATCCAAGGTATACATGTCAAGGGGAAAAAAAGGACTGATCCGTTTCAGTGCAACAGAGCATGTGCTTAGTAACGGACGCGAATGTAAACATGCAATAGGCGACCGAGTGGCAACCTGGTAACTGTCTACGCAAGAGCGCTCACTCTGGATCTCTCTGTTGAACTTTACTCGCTCCAACTCTGACGCCCGGGAGGGCTCTGCTGTGATGGCTGCTCTGGGTGAAGTTGGAAGCTTCTTGCATGGCAATGATGGTGTAGGACACGTCGGGTCCCATTTTCTCCTGACGTCTCTTGGGGAGAGTTCAGCGGTACTGCTGGGTCAGGGTGAACACCTCGTACCTGGTGCCGGGGAAAGCCTGTCCCGGAGCGCCACGGCAGATTTAACACTTTTAAAAGGGATTCTCCGGAGAAGGCAGTTATACTGTAGAACTGGATTTCATCTGGAAATACTTCCAGATGGCACTGTGCAAGGGACAAGAAAGGACCACAGTAGATTCGGTATTTATCAAGTTATTAGTGTGTTATTACAGATCTCATATTACACATTAATATTTTATGGTTAAAAATGTTACCAAATATGTAATAATCATTATATATAAAACAAGTTATTGTTATAATAATAATAATAATTGATATTATTATTATTATTATTTCTGTCAGAACAAGATCAGTTTCCTACCATAACATCAGTTGCCAATATTACCCCTAAAGCAATAGTGCAACTGTTATAATTTGTTCAATAAATATCAGTGGAAGTAATGTGAAAGTCCTATATGGAAAATGTGGCTATACTCTACCCTAGTGTGTCACAATCTGTGATAGAAGGTTTCTCTGGTGAAATACACCTGGAACAACAGATTTATTCTTCTCCAGGTATTTTGGAATTCATAAGCATTGCTGTTGGATTGATAAGCATTCGAGGAGTGGACAGTGCTCTCTACCTGGGGATGAATGACAAGGGAGAGCTCTATGGTTCTGTAAGTATTACACTCACCACTCTCTTTGGTGTTTCTATAGTCCCACCTCTTATTAAATATGTGTTGTAGAAGTGTCTCTGGGTCTTTTGTTGTCCAATATACATTATAATATACCAGCAGGTGGCATTAATGGGTTTCCTTGATTATTGCTGTCACTCTGCCATAAAGGATCCAGTTCTGCTGTCACTCTGCCATAAAGGATCCAGTTCTGCTGTCACTGCCATAAAGGATCCAGTTCTGAACTAGTTATGTTCTTATCATCTGTAAACACAGAGTCCACAATAGGGACTGGGAAATGACACACGCACAAATATACACACACAGACACACTCTATCACGCTCTAACACACACAATCTACACACACATTATTCTTTAGTTGTATTGTTTGTATATCATTGTATTTTACATTTGTGTGACTGTCCTTGTCTATCAGTGTATCAGTGTTTTGTTACTTGTCATGTTTGATGATTTTGTGTGGACCCCAGGAAAAATAGCTGCTGCTTTGGCAAAAGCTAATGGGCATCCAAATAAACCAAACAAACCAAGCAGCCTTACCACAAATATATCCTTGCCCTGGTAAGACCGTTGATTTATTGTCAATGGATCTGACTTCATAATCTGATCTGACTTGGTTTCTATCCTGCAGGAGAAGCTGACTGCTGAGTGTGTCTTCAGGGAGCAGTTTGAGGAGAACTGGTACAACACATACTCCTCCAACCTCTACAAGCACGGAGACAAAGGGACTCGCTACTTTGTGGCGTTAAACAAGGACGGCACGGCTCGGGATGGAACAAAGTCCAGGCGACACCAGAAGTTCACCCACTTCCTGCCCAGGCCCGTGGACCCTGACCGGGTACCGGAGCTGTACAAGGAGATTCTGGGCCACAGCTGAGACTGGCCTGCACCCACCGTCCCAGATCAGGAATAGCTGTGTATTGAGCTCTAGTCCCTCCTGCTGTGGGAAGCAGGGATGTGTGCAGTCCAGGCAGTGTGGAGCCAACCAGCCCTACAGCAGTCCCAGCCCCAGCCCCAGTCCCAGCCCTACAGCAGCCCCAGCTCCAGCCAGCCAGCAGGGAAGGAGTAGCCTACACTGGGTATAAAGGCACTAGCCAGGGGCCTCCCCTTGGAATGCCAGGGCCAGCTCTCAGCGGTGACAAAGACAGTCTAGAATGTCTGACATTGTCAACCTGCACACCAAGGCATGAGGAGGCTGTTTGTTCAGGGGCAAACTGACCCCCGAGAGTAGCTGTCGTGTGGAATAGGAGAGGAACAGGATCAGAGGAAGAGATGCTGATGCAGGAGGGAGGGAGAGAGGGAGGGTCACTCTTCTGTTTGAGGGCCAATACACTTCAGGAAGTGTCTTTGGACTGAGGATCTAGTTGGAATCATAGAGATAGAACATAGAGATAGAACTGTTCTATTATCTATTGTTGGGATGGCAAAATCTATGGGATTCTATACAGTTAAAGAACCTAGTTTTTTATTTGGTGGGGCTATGATGTGTTGGAAGGGCTCTGTTTATTCCAGAAGGATTTTGAAGGAATTCACCTGTTTTATTCTCGTTTTACGTGTGACTAGATGATGCTGAAAGGAGCAGAAAGATATCTGCCACAGATATCATTTCAAAATGTATTATTTATTCATTTCTAGATACAAATATTTATGTTATATATTTATTTATTTCAGAATATATTTTTACAGTTAAATATACAGTACTGTATAGAGAAACCACTAGAAATTGTATCTACATAGAGATAATCTGAGGATAGCTGTTTTCTCACTTAGCTTGGGCCACATTGTGAAATTATCTTAACATAATGTGTGGGAAAATCTATAATTTACTGAATCTTTCCCAAAGAAGCCCTCCGTTGTATGCATCACATTTAACGTCTGTGTCAGTGAATCCTTATTAAAGTCAGTGAACTGGATTTGTCTTTTTTATATTGTCTGTTTGGAACATTTAAGGATGTATTGTAAATGTAAATGTTTTAACATTTGGGTTCAGAATCTAAGAGGACCACACTGTTTATTACCTACATGGTTTTCTTGATGAACCAACTGACAAAAAATATATAAAAAATTAACTAGTTTAACTCAGTTTTAAAAGTTCACATTTTCTAAAGAGACATACATTTTGGCTATAGCTTTGTCTTTTGAAATTGGTGAGTTCAAATACATAAACCTATTTACGAGATCATTGTTGTTCTTTTTATGATTGCCATTATGTTGAGAGACAAGAGCGAGGTTCCCATATATGCATAAAAACTTCAAAGTCATGCTGTGGAACTTGCTCACGTAGTGGCCTCACAATGCAACGACCAGGGCCAAATAAAAAATGACCTTTACCTCTGGTCCGTTCAGCGGCTTGGCAGCTGTATAAAACTGGAGGTCAGCGCGATAAGGGCTAAGTAAGCTCTGTTGACAGTTGCAGAATGATAGTCCTGATTAATAGTATTATTGAACAATGAAAGAGAGCCAAGGTGGCCAAGAAATCTCTCCAGCCTCCAGACTGAGTGAAAACCTTTGTGTCCCATTCTTTTTTGTAAAACCGTAGCCTTTTTTTCATCTGCTGACAGCTTTAACGTAGCAGAAAGCGTGTCCACTGAGTTGATGGATATTTCTTTGTGTGAAATTGTTTCACAGAGAGATTGTTTTACAATATCCATGCAATTTCAGTGATAAACAAATTATTTATAGGGGCTTGTCCTCAAAGGAGGAGATATAGCCCTCTAAGTACCTGCATTTCTCTATCCAACTGTAACCAAAACAATGTTTTGGAGGAAACAGGAATTAGACACGTTATATAAAACATATGATCTTTGGACAATGGCTGAACAGGCATATTTATTTAAAAGCCACTATTTTGGTATCTTTGTACAGTTTCCTCAACGGTTGGGAGGATATCTGTGTTGAAGCATGAAAGCTAAAGGCCTGTGATCTCAACATCTCTGTGATGGCAAGCCAACTGCTGTCTTGACATGGGGAGTCTGCTCTGTTGCCAACACTCAGCCTTGTAGGATACAATGGGACTTTCCCATCAGAACACCTACATAATCAACAACTACCTCTATCTCTTCTCTCACCATAATGATATCATGCACCTTGTTGAACTGTGCTCTCTATGTTTATGTGTATATTCCCTGGCTATCTACCCCATAAACACGTATTCCCTGGCTATCTACCCCATAAACACATATTCCCTGGCTATCTACCCCATAAACACATATTCTCTGGTAAACCTACCCCATAAACACGTATTCCCTGGCTATCTACCCCATAAACACGTATTCACTGGCTATCTATCCCATAAACATGTATTCACTGGCTATCTACCCCATAAACACATATTCCCTCACTATCTACCCCATAAACACGTATTCCCTGGCTGTCTACCCCATAAACACGTATTCCCTGACTATCTACCCCATAAACACGTATTCCCTGGCTATCTACCCCATAAACACGTATTCCCTGGCTATCTACCCCATAAACACATATTCCCTGGCTATCTACCCCATAAACACGTATTCCCTGGTAAACCTACCCCATAAACATGTATTCCCTGGCTATCTACCCCATAAACACATATTCCCTGACTATCTACCCCATAAACACGTATTCCCTGGTAAACCTACCCCATAAACACGTATTCCCTGGCTATCTATCCCATAAACACATATTCCCTGACTATCTACCCCATAAACACGTATTCCCTGACTATCTACCCCATAAACACGTATTCCCTGGCTATCTACCCCATAAATACGTATTCTGATTTTAGATGCATTACTAACTGTTACATATTCAGTTTAAAGAGGTCAATTTTGTTTCTTCATAGTCCTGCAACTAAAATATTGCTATTTTAAAACAGAACAGATGCGCAATTGTAAACATAACAGCTATAAAATGTATGTTTTATTTAAAAAATGGTATTCAACAGTGATCATTGAAATGTGCTGAAATGTCACGACTGGCAGCTCCCATTCCTGGGGAGTGTCATCAAAGGTTGCTTCCATGTGAAAAGGACCGGCTTAGTCTCAGTGGTTCCCTCTGTTGGATGTTACATTCTGCATGAAAAACCAAAAGATTCAAAGTAACCTAACATTTACAAAGACTGGCACTTAGCCATTACCTTTCTGGCCATAGAAAAATACTTTGTGTTAATGTAAGTGTTCTCCCTTGACATTTTGAGGGTCATGTCTCTAAACAGGTTTCCACCCTGACTTGTGATACCTGATGCCCAGAAGTGCTCTTTGGCACTTGTTGAACTGATGTTTTGGAGTCACCCTAGCCTTTAGAGAGATACTTTTGTTCCCCCAGCAGGTGGTCTGTGGCTACTTACTGAAAACACTTAAACCCCTCATCCATCCCACTCGGGGGCTCTCTCTTACTTAATGGATGCTTCCTGACTTTCATCACCTCCTCAGCCACAGCCTCAAAGGCCCCTGCAGGAAGCCCAATCAGGTGTGTTTCTCAGTATGTGTGTGTCTCTGTCTGTCTGTCTGTGTGTGTGTGTGTGTGTGTGTGTGTGTGTGTGTGTGTGTGTGTGTGTGTGTGTGTGTGTGTGTGTGTGTGTGTGTGTGTGTGTGTGTGTGTGTGTGTGTGTGTGTGTGTGTGTGTGTGTGTGTGTGTGTGTGTGAATGAGTCCACGGAGCAGGTATGGAAGTCAGTGTTCATCCATGCCTGTCTATCTCTGCAGTCAGTCCAGTCAGACAGCGTGTGCAGGTGTTCCCACCGCTCCTCATCCTCTGTCGCCTGTTTGTCAGCTGGGGATATGGGAGGTGAGTTAGCATCAGCATAACTGCCTACTGGAAATATAGGTAGCTTTGTTGTCTGCCCCAATTATTAGAGAGCATAATTTCTATCTTTAGAAAGGCTGGCCTGAGGAACACAGCAGGGGAAGTGCCAAGAGCTTAACTCACCTACTGTTGTAAAGCCATGGTCACTTCTAAGAAGTGGTGTCTGTCTGTCTGTCTGTTTAAGGATGGTGTCTGACTGTCTCTTTGTGTTGTTGAAATCCTACAACTATTGATTTTAGGCTCTTTGGTGTTTGTTGATTCAATAGTAAATTGCCATGCTCACCAAATTATGAGTTACAATGGTGTGTGCATGGTTTAAGTCTGTGTACATGGCAGTCTACCGACATATTAAGACTGGGATAAAAGTATGCTATTTAAGCACTTTATATTTTTGTTCCTGAATCCCTTCAACTTTTACTTCAGTGGGCTAAATCAGGGTCCCACAGAGTGTTTCTTGGTAGTATTAAACAAATCTACTTTGAAACAAAAGTATACACCTCACACACAGTCTTAAAAAATGAAGACACTTGTACCATGTCAGATATAGAGTTGAAATGTATTACATTTTGAGTTTGCATCCCAATATTACACTTTATATACATCACAGAAGACTGAAATATAACAAAACCGTTTGACATAGAAACACTGGATTTTCGGCTGGTTTTTGAAATAATGTTTATTAATTATGGAATTATGGAAAATTATTAATAACATTCCACCCATGAGGCCACTAGGTCATTTGACTGCAGGAAAGAGCTACTCTGGCGGAGTTACCTTGATTGTATCTACAGTATAAACCAACACACATCCTGGGGCGCGAGAAGAAAATCCCCCAAAATAGAAGAATGAAAGAAAAAGATTTCATCATCTGAAGATTTTAGGCTTCTGCGATAACTCATCCGGGAAGACTGGTGTACTAAAGGTTCATCCCACAACAGAAGACATCAAGGTAGAGAGGTGCAGAATGACCATGGTGTTATATTTCCTATATTGTAACTCCTTTCAAGTACAATCGTTTTTCTTATGTCATAGCTATCCTTGAGGGTTTTGTGGTCTACTTTCCAAAAACTGCAATTAGGCTCTGCATATTTGATTTACTGTCATTTCAGTTCCAGAGCTGTCAGCTCCAATGGAAAATATGCTCCTCTGTTTAGATCTCCATGGAAACATTAGGAGAAAAAACAACTTTGCAAAAAACCTTTGAGCACTGCTATTTACACACCATACAAATGTTGTCTTTCAGTTTTAACATACATACCTAGAGCAGGGCTTGCAGTTCTAGTTTTCCCAGCAGGTAACTGACAGAGTTGTGTCTTAGAGCATTAAAGAGATGATCTGAGACTGGGAGTAGAACTGGGAGGCCCAAGAAGGAAAACTGTACTGATACAACAAACAGACCAACTGTGTCCCAAATGGCACCCTATCCCCTATATAGTGCCCTACTGTTGCACCCTATTCCCTATATAGTGCCCTACTGTTGCACCCTATTCCCTATATAGTACCCTACTGTTGCACCCTATGTCCTATATAGTACCCTACTGTTGCACCCTATTCAATATATAGTGCCCTACTGTTGCACCCTATTCCCTATATAGCACCCTACTGTTGCACCCTATTCCCTATATAGTACCCTACTGTTGCACCCTATTCCCTATATAGTACCCTACTGTTGCACCCTATTCCCTATATAGGACCCTATTGTTGCACCCTATCCCCTATTTAGTGCCCTACTATTGTACCCTATTCCCTATATAGTACCCTATTGTTGCACCCTATTCCCTATATAGTACCCTACTGTTGCACCCTATTCCCTATATAGTACTCTGTTGTTGCACCCTATCCCCTATTTAGTGCCCTACTATTGTGCCCTATTTCCTATATAGTGCCCTACCTTTGACCAGCGTCCCAGGTCAAAAGTAGGGCACTATATAGGGAATAGGGTGCTAGGGTACCATTTGGGACGTAACAACAGACTGACACCTGGCATCTGCAGCAGCTGCTTGACTCAGATGATACAGTACACAGTAAAACGTCTAGTCACGATAATACCCCATCACTATAAATCCCAAGGAATGACTGCATACATGTCTGGGATTGTTATCTATAAGTTACACAGTA